GGGGGGGGGGGGGGCAAAGGGGGCAAATTGCCCCGGGCCCTGAGTTGCTGGGGGCCCCTGAAAATTTTTTGTTGGGCCCCAGCCTTTTTTGTGTGTTAAATATTTCCGCGCAAAGGACAAGATATCTGTTTTCTTGGGCTAAGTACCATAAAAAAATGAGATGAAGTCCCTCGCATAAAAAAATGAGATAAAGTCCCTCAAAGCAATTGCAATGTACTCGTCTGGAAAAATTTTTGACCCCTGAAATGGTATCCGGAAAAAAATTTTTCCGGGAAAATTTTTTAGATAGGGGCCCCTAAAAAAAATTTGCCCCGGGCCCCCGCCAACCTCTGGGCGGCCCTGCATGTGCCGAGTAATTCATGTACAATAACACGCTTAATTACCTTTTTTATACACACTGTATATTGATGTTGGCTGAACTTTTCCATTCATTTCAGCTTGTGTATAATTTATGCCAGCTTTTCTTTATTTAACTGGATTGCTCCACCTATTATTGCTTTCATTGGTTCCAAATTTTCCATGATGCTTGGTGGCTTTTGTTATTGGCAAGTGTTAATACTGTATATTATTGTGAATAGTCTTTAATTTTGCCCTAACCATTAGTGTCTGACCCTCTACGTGCTCTTGATGACTATCCCCTTGCCAAAATCAACTATGAAGCAAGCCATCTGAAAATTACTTTAAAGCTCAGACATTTTAGACATTTTTACATCAAACGTAGTTTAAATTACAAATCAGTTCGTCGCCTGCATTCATAAGCAGAATATAATATATAATTATCAAATATATTATTGTATTGTTTGTTTAACTAGAATAAATGTGACATATTTTGACAAGCATGTATATTAGACTAAACCTCCGCTTGTTTAATATTATGGCCATTGGCCATGCCCAATTGAGTGACCACGCTTCTAAAATTGGCAAAACATTGCTGTACACATCTCTTGTTAGAACCTTAACCCTTTGAGTACCAGCACTTTCCCCTTGATGGGTTAAATCATCTGGTGTTAGACAGAGTGATTTCAATAATAAAGTAGAGTGTAATTCAACTTAAGCTGTTTTGCAGATATTTTCTTAATATCTTCTCAATTTTTTTCACAGGCTATTTATATTGAGCTTATATTTTGTATCCAAGTACGTTCAGCATGACCTGTCAGGTCTGCTGTATACAGCATCTGTTGTCATTGGATTTGGGGCTGCAGGTATACTGTACATTTTTGTACTTGAATTTGTGTGCCAATATGCAGATTTTTATTGATGTACTGTCTTATAAATGGTGATTTTGCTGTCTTATAAATCGATGCCCTGCTTGTTGGCCGCTATGCCCTCGAAATATACTGAAATCCACGGCCAGTAGTGGCCTGCCCTCAACCCCAGATTACAGTATTTAGGCTTTAGAATACCAAGCCTATGATTTCTAAAATTTGGCAATAAATTTAAATAGTATTTAAATGCACCTTTCCAGCCTTTTGTTTGGCATTTTTTTGAATATTGTTGCTGTTCTGTATATTTTTCTTGTCTCATGGAAACTCAAACATTATTTGCAACTTCAAAATAGCAACTGAATAAAATTTTCAAACTGGCCTTGAATCTTGATGCCCTGTGTACTGGCCTTGATGCCCTGAAAAACGTAGTAACATTCAAGGACAAACTGGCCTTGCCATTATTTTTCTCAAATTCGAGGCCTGGAATGGTAATAAAATAAAATATGTATGCATATAGAAACCACAGTTAAATATTCGTCCAGAATCCAGAAATTGCTATTCTAGGGACTCTACATTTCAAAATTTTTGCAGGGAGAATGCCCCCGGAACTATTTAAGTACAGAATACACAATTTGAAAATGTTACATAAACATTCAAAACTGAAGGAAATACTCTTGCTAGTTGTCCTAAGAGTTTAAGAATATGGAAATCAGTCTGACTAAAAGAGTGCACGATAGAAAATCACTAGGGCACCAAATATTCCCTGGGCCCCCAAATTTCTCTGTGCAGCCCTGTTTCAGAATGATTGTGTTGAAGGATTGTTGATAGTGTATGTGGATTTAATATGGTCAGTTGATCAATTGGGGGCGTGTTGATACATTTGTTTGATATGCATCCTCCCTGACCTCCCACCCAATTTTACTCAAAATTTCAAGTTTTTTTGTGAAATCCCCACCCCATCCCTGTACCCCCACTCCCCAGGATTTATATTAATAGGTGTGTAGGTCAAGTTGGTAAGAAGTCATTTTATTTCCAACAGTTATCTGGACGGCGCAAGGAAGTTGTTTGACGGTGAATTCTTCAGATGAAACGATGGGACGAAACAGTGGAATATTTTGGGCATTCTTACAATGCAGGTTGAATTATGAAACTGTTGAATGAGAGTTTTAAACTCGCTAACACTTGAACCGTTACCCTTAATAACACTCTTTATGTTTTGTAGTATGTTGATTGGAAGTTTGATTGTTTACTTTTGTTTCAAGCCAAAAAATGGTTCAACGCTGATCAGTGAGTACCTTACATACAAGTCATTTTAGAATGCGTCTCTTGTATAGAAATGGCTATTCACTGTCATTGCGGTGCCCTATTGACTGCCATTTGGGAGGGGGAAGGGGGGGGGGGGTGCCACACTGTAGTACATACAGTATACTGTATGTCTGGTTAGAATATACACTAGGTTAGAATTCCAGCTATATTGACTAATTTTTTATCTAGACAAGAAAGACGAATTACATCATTATAGCTCAAAAGAGCATCCTAAAATTAGTAAAATTGCAAAGTTTGGTTGCGAAATGTTTTAAAATATGGAAAATATAGTCCTATGAAATTAGCAAATTTTGACTATTTTAGTATTACGCGCGATAAAAATAACCACTTTCAGCTTAAAAATGGTTATTTTACCACGCGCAATACTAAAATACTGAAAATTCGGGCTATATTTTCCGTATTTTACAACATTTCGCAACCAAACTTTGCAATTTTACTAATTTTAGAATGCTCTTTTGAGCTATAATGATAGATTTCGTCTTTCTTATCTAGATAAAAAAATAGTCGAGAGCTAGAATTACTAAAACTGTCTGTACCAGTGTACATGTAGGTAGTACCAATGTGAAAATGCTGTGCTGAGTGGTTATATTACTACCTTAAAAAATAAGCAGAAACTCGACGTTTCGAGCGAAGGCCCTTCATCAGCTCTCTCTATTAAGATTTTATTTGCTTTCAGGTCTTGATCAAAGGTCGACTGTGCTGTGTATTTTTATTGCTCTATCAGCGTTTGGAACGTTGTTCTTCTTGTTGCTACGAAGTGCGAAGAACAAAAAAAAGGTGAGAATAATTATGAACTGTCTTTGTCAGTGTAGGTACTACTGTAAGTGCCAATAAAATGAACAAGCTTTCGTTGGTAGGGTTCGTAACTACCTGAAAATATATAAGGAGGATTTCAAGTTTTTTTATTATAATTTTTTGTATGATTTTATGGCGCACTTTAATGCATGGGCGGATTTTCATTTTTTTTTAAAGGAGGGGTGGAAAAATTTCTAGTGGGGTGCAAGCGGCACCACTTAGCGAGTTTTTTTACAGGGTTTAGGCGTTAGGGTTAAAGACTTTCACACAAAATAGGAAGGGTGAAGCGAAGTTTTGGTGGGGTTGAGCACTTTATAAGAGGGGTTAGAGAGATTCTAAGGGAACCCCCCCCCCCTAACTCCCAGTAAATCCGCCCATGCTTTAATGATGCACTTTATTGATGATGCACTTTATTAACGTCATTGATGATGCAGTTTATTGATGATGCAGTTTATTAACGCACTTCAATGATGCACTTTATTGATGATGCACTTTATTGATGATGCACTTTATTGATGGTGCACTTCATTGATGATGCACTTTATTGATGATGCACTTTATTGATGATGCACTTTATTGATGATGCACTTTATTGATGATGCACTTTATTGATGATGCACTTTATTGATGATGCACTTTATTGATGATGCACTTTATTGATGATGCACTTTATTGATGGTACACTTTATTGATGATGCACTTTATTGATGATGCACTTTATTGATGATGCCCTTTATTGATGATGCACTTTATTGATGATGCACTTTATTGATGGTGCACTTTATTGATGGTGCACTTTATTGATGATGCACTTTATTGATGGTGCACGTTATGAACATCAGTGATGATGCACTCTCATCCTTGTTTGACTAAGGCTTTAATTCTCTTCCTTGCCCTGCCTTAGTGCATTATTTGAATATTTATCTGTTTCAAAATAAGCTATTATATACCTGAACCTTTTTAGGAAGGAAGTGAAGAAGATCTTATTGTGAATCTTCAAGGGTAAGATATTAATTTTTCATCTAAGTACTAATTAAAAGTTAAAACATGAGCAACCGATCTTTATCTGATATACAACTTGCATATACTGTATGTCAGATAAAGATCGGATGCGAATGTTAAAAAACTGCTTTTAACGAATGCTTAAAAAACGACCCATCTTATGAGTTCATTGGCGAAGTCATTTTAAAAATAAACATTGTCTAACCCGGGAAAATCAAAGCTGAAGTTTGTGTAAATCAGGACAAATCTTTATCCGATTTGCAAACATTGATGAAACATTCATTTCTTTTGTATTTTCCTCGTGAATTATTAATAAGATTTTTAATTATATATAAAAAAAATCCGTGCAGCCGAACCGGCCAATCGGGAAACACAGGTTTGATTTCCGTAATTGTGGAGTAAATTGATTCCGAGTTTAGACTTTAGAGTATTATAGCCACAAACCTATAGCCACAAACCTATAGCCACAAACCGTGGCTATAATATATGCCGAAATATGCCTAATTTATAGCCAGTGGCGTAACTAGCCCGACGATTCAATCCCACTATGTAAATATTGACAATTCATGTTTATAAACTATCAAACAATCAATTTTTAAAGAAATGAATAATGATAATGAGTTGAAATTTGCATAGCGGGACCAATTCGTCGGGCTGGCTACGTCTGTACTGTTTATAGCCATGATGGTAATAGAGTAACCGGTCAGTATCCTAATACTCTTTGATTGTATATATATACTGCGTTATTATGCAACTATATTCCATAAACTGGTATAACTCACACCTTCAGATACAGTTGAGATACCGTCCATGAAACGACAGCTCCCGTATGCATGCTCTCCAAAGAAATGCTATAAAACACTGGCTATATAATCGTGGCCATATCCACCCATTGTGCGTGTGCATACAGCCAAGATTTACGATGGAGAGCCGTGCAAAACACGTGTAAAAAAACACGTGCAAAACAGCACTCAAAACTGAAGAGCAAACAGGATGGTTGACCTCACTATAATCGCCGACGTTTTCGTTAGTGTTCGTTCTGGAGTTTTAACAATTGTTTGCCCGCGTCCATATTCCAAAATACACGTCCAAATGACGGGTGGATGTGCCTCTGGCTAAGCCCATATTTCTCTCTTTATAGGTCTGAAACAAGAGTTGAGACGAGTAGTAGTCCGTGGGAATCATTTGGTAAGTTGGCTGTAAGCTTTTTGTATATACGTTTATCTAACTTTATATTATTCATTGCTGTGCTATTTCTTTTGTCGATCAGGTAAAAGAAAACTAGACTGGGTTTCCTATTTCTTGTTTGAAAAACGTACCGGGGGAGGGGTCTTTCGATGTTTCGAGCGAAAGCCGTTCGGGAAGTTAACTTGAACCTCGAAGTTCTCCTTCTATTTTTTTAGGTAATTGTATCCCTACTGATTGACTGATAATCGGCACCGGGTCGATTTTGCCTCATCGGTAGATAATCGGAATCGGTAGAATTGTCTATATTTCCGGTTGTCTAAAACCGATTGCTGAGAAAATGCCCACTTTAAAAATTATATGCATTGCACGTTGCGCTTTAACGCAATATGTTAAATTAATGCGTGAAGCGTCCATTTATTAAAGGTTTTACAGGTAAACTACGTGAAGTGTTCCTCTTTTGACTTCCTAACTCATTTGGAATTTTCCTCATTTGCTTTGCAAATTTGAAAAACTCTTTGCAAACCCTTTGGGGAATTTGCAATTTCCCTATCGGCTGTTGCAACATTCCAATGCAAAAAACACTTCATTTTAAATACCTCCTTTCCTGACTTCCTGTTCTGTTTTCAGCGTTGTCATTGGTGGATTATTTTTGTTAGGAAGTTAAGAACTTCTAACCGGAATGAGGAAAATTTAATCGGCTTTTAGCAACGTTGTAAATTCCCTCAAGGGATTTGCAAGGGAGTATTTTTAATTGCAAAGGTAATGAGGAATATTGCAATCAATTTAGAAAGTCAAAAGAGGAACGCTTGACGTAGTTTACCTATAACGATCTTTGGTTGCAGTAACATGTTACGTTGGAAATTATCGTTAAAAAATCGACATGAATGATGTCACATTTACTCGGTCAACTGATATTATGACGTCATTATAAATCGGCATCAGTATCTGGCAGATTGCGGCATCGGTAATTTCCTATTGTATTTGTTGCACAATCGGTCAATCACCAGTCCCTATCAATCCACAGCGTTATATGGCTGGCCGAAAACTAGCTTACAAAACTAATGCCAACGACTGGAAACAAAGAATTGCCCAAGCTCTTTGCAAACTTCAGATAAAAAGATCAGGATCGTTAATTTCTGTAGTATAGGTAATTTTTTGTTGCCTCGCGTAGCACAGCTAAGGTGCATGGGAGAATTAGTTTTGTTGTTAACCAAGCCTTGATAAAATATTTTTCTTCCTGGCAGCAGGCTTCCCAGACCAAAAATTTCCTGTCAATTTTTTTTATGAATTTGAATTTTGGTTGTAATTCAAATTAACAGACAGTCGTAGCACTGTCACATGATACAAATTTTTATGTTATGATTGTTGTATTTATGCTCTAATTGTGATGTTTGTTACTTTAATGCTGATTTTTGAAATTTCTCGAGCTTCATTCTTAATATCTTGCTTTTCCTTAAAAATTTCCTGTGAGATTAAAAAAATTTCCTGCCATGCTGGCGGACTTTCTCATGCCTTGTTGTTAACATTGATGTTTTTATTTTATTTTAGTCAGCTCGCTTAGGTTATTCATTACGAAGCCAATGTTATGTCTAAATATCGTCTTTGTATATACAGGTAAAACTATTTTATGTTTACATGTATATAATGAAGGGCAGTATTTTTAAGATTCACTATTAAAATTAGTTTTGTTTTATTTTAGGATTAGAATTGACATTCTTCAGTGGAGTTTATGGAACCAGTGTCGGTCAGTATCCGTGAAATCTGTGAATTGGATTGAAGAAGAGTTACTGATATTGTGATATTTTTGTGTTATAGGAAATACTCTCCGTTTCGCTGAATCTAAAAGATTAATTGGGCTCTCCGGAGTCTTTATAGGAATTGGTGAAATTTTAGGTAAGATCACCCCAATCACATTCATAGTTTCAAATATTTCGACTGTGTCAATTCAGGTGTTAGCCAGGATCGCGAAAGAGGACGTCCAATTTTGGTATAATGACAAATCTACAGTAGGGGGGTCGGGAGTCGAAGAAAACCAAAAAGTTTGGGTCTGAGACTCTCAAACAGTATTAGATGTTTACGTTACTTCATGTCAGTATCTGCATGTTCAACCTACTTAAGCTCATTCAAGATTTTTCAAACACTCCTGACTTTCTGAGATTTGTGCTACTATTCGACCAGGTACACCATCAAATGTATAATAATATTGAAAATTGAAGCTATTTCGTTTCAGATATATTAATATATTTCGGGAACTCAATGAGAATAATTCCCCTTTCCCCTGAATTTGGCCGTCCAAAGACGTCCCCCTCAGTTCTGCTTGTATGAAACTGTTGAATATTAAAACAGTGTCATTTTTTCAGGTGGAGGGGTGTTTGGTATATTTGGTCAACGTATAACTGCCAAAGGTCGAGACTCTGTTGTGCTTCTTGGAATGTTGGTTCATTTTGTTACATTCTTCCTAATTTTATTGAACTTGCCTGAAGAGTCGCCAAATAGTGCCAGTCATGGGATGGGGTTCTTTTTTAAACCAAGGTAGAGTAAGAATTTCATTATTATACTCTGCCATTCAATTAGCCTATACAGTCCTTATATAACATGTAATATGTCTTATACCATCACTACCACACCATATAATACTGAACCAGACCTTGTCACACCATGCTACATCATCAAATGCATGAAGTTAATGAGCGGTAAAAATATATCAAATCCGACTATGAAGACTTTATCAGATATCCAGTCCATTGTAATTACCATACCATACCATACCATACCATACCATTAAAGGCAATACATTTCTAAGGGTTTGAAAAATTTAAATAATTTAAAATTTGCATAGCATGACCATGCCATACCGTACCGTACCGTACCATACCGTACCATACCGTACCGTACCATATCATGCCAAACCGTATCATACCATGCCAAACCGTACCAAACCATACCATAGCAAACATATTATATCATACAATATCAAACCATACCATACTATACCACACCATGCCATACATCACGCTATGCCATACCATACCATACCATACCATACCATACCATACCATACCACACCACACCGTACCATACCTCCACCATACCATATGGTATTGTAGTCACAGCGTCATCTTTGAATCATGTCATTTAACACATTTTGCAGTGTTTCAATAGCAATGCTATGCGCATTTCTCCTTGGGTTTGGTGACAGTTGTTTTAACACCCAGGTATTTTACCATTTAAAATCTGATCGAATTTCCTTTTACGGATTTGAAATAATATTAGAGAGGTTCAAATTTTGATTTCCATTACCATTAGCCAATCAGATGCCTGTAATCTACCCGATTAACCAATCAAATGCGTATTAATCCTGTGGTGGTGGTAGAAATCATATATGAATTTTTTTATTACATCTCAAACAAATTATTGTTACGAGGCCAAAAAAAAAGATGTGGGTTTCCGGTTTGGCGACCCTACCCTAGCTTTTGGACGTCGAAATCCCGACCCTAAACTTTTTTTATTGGATCATGCTTGTAAGTGTTTCCACTTAAAGGAAAAAGTTTGTGGAAAATTGAAATTTGAGGCAATATTAGGGAAATTTATCTTTGGATGTGGCAGCACTGACTAAACAAAATGGCGTCCGGTTGTTAGGAAAATTAAAAAAAAAGTGAACCGACCTACCCTGGCAATTGCTAGATAGTATACTTCAAAATAAGATTTCCGTTTTTATATCAATTTTTAAAATAAGTTAGGATTAGGTTAGGGTTTAGGTTAGGGTTAGGTTAGGGTTAGGGTGAGGGTTAGTATTAGGGTTAGGTTTTAGTGTTGCGTTAGGATAGTTTTTTCTACGTTATAAAAACGGAAACCTTATTTTGAAGTATACTATCTAGCGATCACCGACCTACCCTACCTAAGTTTTTATAAGAAGAAATCGGAAACCCACATATTTTTTTGGCCCGACTGTTCCTTAAAGGCTGTTTTCCACTAGGCGGAATTTTCCGCGCGGAGCGGAATTTTTCTTTGTCTTGTGATTTCTCGGGTGGAACTAATTAGAAATAACAAAGAAAAATTCCGTTCCGCACCCAAATTTCGCCTAGTGGAAAACCGGCTTAAGGTCCATTTCCACTCAAGAAATATTTCCATGGACAGAAAATTTTCCGAAAATAAAAGTTGAAAATTTTTTTCCGACGGGAAATTTGTGTCGACCAATTTTACAAAATTTTGTTTCTGGGGGAAATTTTCCCGAATGGAAATGGCCCGTTAGTCCTTTCATCGTACATCTTTGTAACGGTCTATTTCACTATTCAACTTGTTATTTTTCAGATTATGTCTTTACTGGGTAATTTCTATTCTGACAATAGTGCTTCTGCTTTTGCGATATTTAAATTTTCTCAGGTAAGAACAGACACGGGAATTTTGCAGGTTAATTTTGCTTGTATTTTAACGGGTTCTGAAAAGCTCAAGGTTGTTTGTTGTTGTTTAGTCTGTCGCCGCTGCAGTTGGATTTTTCTACAGTAGTCATTTGGGGCTGAAAGCACAACTCTATATTTTGGTAAGAAAATATTCGTTTTGAAACTAAAGCCTTGTCAAACGAGAACGAGAGCTGGAAAGCGCGAGTTTCTCGAGTTGTAGCAAGCTTGTCAACTACAAAGTTGTCACTCACAACTTGTTGACAAGTTGTTGAATTGCATGATGATAACAAGTTGTTGGAACAACTTGTAACAAGTCTGTTGAGCTCAACAACCTTGTAGCGAGTTGTCAACAAGCCGTTGACAACTTGTCAACAAGCTGG